GAGGGGGGGGGGGCCCCCCCCCCCCCCCCCCCCCTCCAGCCCCCTAACACACACCACAACGGCCCACTCACGTGATATTTTCAAACATGCGCAGCACGATGTGCGTCATGTAGTCCAGCTCGCGGCACTCGTGTAGTACCTGCTGCCCCTCCTCACCCAGCAGCGGCGCCTCGCCCTCGTGCCCTGCACGCAGCCACTTGCAGCGGTGGACAAGCGCCGGTGTGAGCTGGCATGCCTAGCCAGAGCAGCTGCATTCTGCCAGGTTGTGACGTGCTCACCCAGCTGGCAGAACCGCAGCACGTTGAGCAGCGAGTGCATGTGGGACTCGGAGGTGAAGTAGATGCGGGTGCGGACGTGGCGGAAGGGCGAGTTAATGTCCTGTAGCACCGCGGGAGAGCAAGAGAGATTGACTGCCACTGCGCGCACAGGCGGCCAATGTACCAGCCAGGACCACACCTGGGCGTATGTGGGGCACAGCCTGTGCAGCACCGCATCGTCATCGCCATCATCTGGTTCTGTGATACAAGAAGAGGGACAAACAAGATTAGCCATGCTGCAGCGGTTAATCAGTTGTACAATACAAGGTGCAACCATCAGTGACGTCAAGACAACCCACTGACGTGCCATACGCATGTGTGCTGCCTGGCCACCTGTTCCCACAACTTCCTCCTGGCTAGTAGAGCGTGCAGTGCCCTCCGCCTCCCCCCCGCCAGCCTCGCTGCCGCCCGAGGGCCTGCTGCTGCTGTTGACTGCCAGGTTGCGCAAGTCAGCCATGGCATCATACTTCACGGCAGAAAGAGGAGCAGAACAAGGCAAGGGCAGCGGTGCTAAGGTTGAGGAGCCGAAATGTGCACTCTTATCAGTCTCGCAATCCCCATTGTCAGCCCTCACCACCAGGCCTCACCTGCAGGGAGTTATCGGCGTGCTGCAAGCCAGCCGTCTGCATGCTCTCCTCCCGCATCGATGCCAGGTCGGCCAGCAGCTTGCCCAGCAGCTGGCTGCAGATCATAGAGCCGATGCGCAGCTTGCCAGCAGGATGGATGCCATACTCGTTGGGGATGACCGCCGCTGCCAGGGCACGCGCAGTCTTGAGGATGTGGAATGGAGGGACAATGACAAACATGATTCCGGTGAGTGTACAACCTTTGTAGAACCCAGCAATCAATCCCTATTTCAGTGCAAACCCGCTGTGTTTCCTCCAACCGCACATCACCCTAACAACCCACCCACCGAGTAGACGGGACGCAGGTCGAGGCCCAGGTTCTGGTTGTGGATGGCGTCGTACTTGGCGGCATCGTAGATGTCAGGCACCTGCTAGGCCGCCAGACGGCACGCAGCAGTAGAGTAGAATGAGCAGGACACAGCGAGTGTGAGACAGCGCATGTGAAGCAACCCGAGATTGGATGCAGTCTAGTCAAATGCATTTACCTTGGAGATGTCAAACTGATTCTTCTTCTCGTTGTAAAATGCTTTGGCCAGCTTGCGCCAGCGGTCAAACACGAGCAGCAGCTTCTCCCCGCTGCACGGCTTGCCCTCCTGCAAGTCAATGAATCCAAAAACACGACTTGTGCCCCAGCAAGGCTGACAAGTGCAGCACCGTACCCAGCGCCACCTCCCTCCCACCTCGTGCGCGCACTCCCTGGGGTCCTGGGTGAGCGCCGAGTAGCCGCGGGGGCGGTCATCATTGCGCGGCTCCTCCAGGCATTTCTGTCGCAGCTGATCAACCAGAAGCTGCAGGGGGGTAGAACCCGAGGGGCGAGGAGCGGAAACATGTGGTTTGCACAGGACTTTCTACAGCAAGAGCACAAGCAGCAGGCGCCCAAAGTGCCAAACGCACCTTTAGCAGCTCATGCAGCTGGCGCAGCAGCCCCAGCGGGTTGTCAGGCATGGGGTAGATATGCGGCCTGCCAGGGATGTTGCTGGCACCCTGCATTGCTTCTGCAGGAAACAACAAGAAACAATAGGCTGTTGCAGAACTCCGGAAGTCAGCACTGCCAGTGCAGTCAACATCACAAAAGTGTGGCACAGCAGCTGGCAGCTCCAAACGCACCAGCGTCGAGGCTGTACATGTCTAGTGGGCTGCCGGCCTGCGTGCGCGCTGCTGCAGAAGCTTCTGCCGATGATACACTGTTGTACGAGCCGAGCCGCCCCGTTAGCTTCAGTGACGCACCGTTGCCATCCTCTGCACCCACAAAAAAATCCCAGCAAGATGTCAGATGAACAAAGCCTGGTGGAAGCAGGCAAGCTATCATGAGCGCAAGCAGCAGGCTCTGCATTGGTCAACATTCAACAAATTGTCTAGATGCACGCACTGCACCTGAAGCCCCTGCTGACCGCAGCCGCATGCCGGGTGGCATGGCACTTGGATCCAGCTTGGGAGACAAGGGCGGCGACACCATGGGGGTAGTGAGCTGTGGCTCTGTGTACATGGATGTGTTGGTCGCGGGGTCCCAGGTCATCTGCACACAAGTGGGCGGGGGGGAGGGGGGGCTTGGAAGGGGGCACGCCATCAAGTTGGCCAGCGTCACTCACATGTTGCTGCAAAGCGCACCTGCGCATACAGCTCCTGCTTGGCCAGCTGGATGTCGGCGGAGGCGCCCTTGCCAAATGCATCCAGCATGCCCGCGTCCTTCTTCACTAAGCTGTTAGCAACAGAAAAAACAGAGCACAAACAGGCTCACGGCAAGAAAATCCAGCGAGGCATGCCTCTTCAATACCTTCATATGTCATGCTGTCCCACCTGACCAGGATGGGCGTCAGCGCGGACCCCTCCAGGTCCAGCAACCCTTTCGTGAAGGCAGCTGCGCTGGTCTGCACGCGGCCCTCATCTGCAGGCAGCACCCAGCACGATGCCCGACGTTGGAGACATGTCGCCCACCCACCCACCCACGCATCTTTACTCCTATCCCACCTGAGGAGTAGATCTTGAGGTCGTGACGGTAGGTGGAGTGCAAGCGCAGCAGGCCACCACCCGCAGACGGAGGATACATCACATTGCGGAACAGGTTGCCCAGCGTCTCGGCCTGCTGCCGTCCTGAATGCGTCAGTACGCCACCGTGCTTCAGGATGAGCAGCGCCTCCACGCAACGTGGCTGCTCCCCACTGCGCTCCTCAGGTGCCGACCAGCGCAGAGGTTTGAGTTGTACTTTGCGGTTGATGCCTGCAAACTGCCCGCCCTGTTCCAGCACCGTCTGCAACCAAGGTTGAGCACCAAGATCACTGTAGTTCAATGCAGTTAGGGTCCCAGGCATTTGTGGGGTGATACCGAAACAAAAACTCAGGGTAGGCTACCCGGACTAACACTACGTGCCCAGCCACCTTCATGATGCGGAATTTCTCCCGCAGCTCATCGCTGTCGGGCTCCGGGCTAGGCACCGCGCCGGCGTTGACGGCATCTGCTGCTGCGCGCTGTTTAGCTTCCAGCTCGTCCAGCAGCAGCCGCGTGGCATCCAGCAGGTCTTGCAGCTCATTGGGGCTCTGCGCACAGTGGTTGGTGATCAAACTTGGCATGCGAAGTCGCGCACCAGGGTCGACACAGGAGAAGGAATTGATTATTTCTGAAGAAGGAGTCGCGGCTGGCTGACAGAATGCAGCGCAGCATCTACCTTGAGCTTGGCCTGCTTTCCCTTGGAATCCAGGTACTTGTGCAGAAGAGCGAGCAAGGGCTCCTGTGTGACCTTCATCTTCATCTTCTGCTTGGGCGTGCGATCGCCGTGGCGGATCACCGCAAGCACGCATCGTAGCTCGCCCTCGGGCCTGCAGCAGTGATCCGGTGAAATTGATGCTGCAAACGGTGTACAGAACTCCCCAAAAGTTGCCCAATGTCAACCAATGCGTATGGCACAACTCACTTGTCTTCCTCTCCCGCCACCTGGCTCCGCATGTCATCCATTGACATGTTGTAGTGCATGCCGTGCTGGCTGCCATCCACGGTCTCCAACACCACATCCCCACACGCGTGCTGTGGCAGTGGCTGCGGCGGCGCAGCCAGCAGACGGTGCGGCTGGACGGCACTCAAGATGACCATGCGCAGGATACCGGCAGCATCATCGTAGTACTGCAGCGAGGGGAAGTCAGGGACCCAATGGGCAAGTAAAGAAGAGAAGGAAACATCAACCAGCTGAAACACAAATGATGGGTGTAAAAGGAGTGACAGTGCACCCAAAGCTCACCTTGTGCGAGTTTTTCACAAAGCTCCAGCCATTCACATCACACACGTACGAGCGCCCCCGCTCAGAACGCAGCAGGTCAAATCCGCATACCCGCTGTCCAAATGCCAGGACCACCATGCGCGCAATCTCCTTTTCCTGCAAACACAAATGATGGATAAGAAAGAATCATAACGCCCCACACAACAAAAGGGAAATGGCAGCTGGTGCGCACCTGCGGGGTCAGCAGCACCGGGAAGCGCTGCTCCTTGCCGTCTGCCGTGCGCACAACCTTGCCGTCCACCACCGGCGACTTGCGCGCCTCGGCATGCGCGTAGCGGGGACCCACAGTGTACACTTTGACATCTGCAACAGGCAGCAAATGTGTGGTATTGCTCAATCTCAAAAATTCAAATCACCATAGTGACCGGCAGAATAAACTTCACCGGTGCCGCCTGTTGTCAGAAACTCCTCATAGATGAAGGATCCCTTGCGCCTGCAGGCAGGCAGAGATGTGTTCATCAAAAGGGCAGGCAGCGCCAGTCAACATGTGTACTCCAAATACTGCCTATTCTGCACCTAACATTGCCCGGGTCTGAGGGGTCGTAATCGCCGCTGCGATTATCCACTTTGCGGAACAGGCGCTTCACGCCGCCGCCCATGCTGTGCGGGTAGTAGATGTACACATTGTGGTCCTCCCCAGAGGCTGGCTTCTCCACGAATGGCTTGCAAATTCGCACGCCCTTGAGCTCCACATAGTCCTCCGTCTCCATGAAGCCCTCTGCTGACAGACATATGGGTGGCAGGCGGTGGGTGGCAGACGGTTGCGAGTCAGCTGCCTCACAGCACATGTTTGACCAGGGTGGATGACACACAGCTCCTCCGTAACAGCGTGGCCAATGCATCCAACCATGCACCTGGGTCCGTCTGGCCTTGCGGCAGGTTTTCTCGGTCAACAATAATGTGCTGGGGCACGGGAATGCCGCTGTCCTGCACACCGTCAGTTGACACAGAAGCGCCAAGTGAACCCTTCTGAATGCAAAATGAAGGCTCAAAATGACACTCAAGGATCCTGGCACCCAAGAAGCAGCAGCTGGCCATAGCGCACCATCAGGGTGCGGTACACGCGGCGGCGGTCCAGCAGCGTGTCCTGCGCCATCACGTCGTTCACGAGGTAGGGCTTGCGCAGCGCCGCGTACTGCTGCGCTTTCTTGAGTGGAAAGCCGTCTGCAAGAGCAGCGGCAGGCTGCGCCTGAGACCCGCTCCATCAAGCTGCGGGCCCAGTTGTGGTGCACAGGTCAGCTGATGTGGTGACCTGAAAAGCTGCTGGTTTGTGACGGGCTGTGGACCATTTGTGTTGGAGTCTTAACTTGTTGTTGCCCACCCAACTGACCCGAGTGCCAGCACAGGAGGCAGTCGCACAGCGGCCACTCGTCCACGGGCTTGGTGAGGATGGTGCTGTCGCTAAACACCACCACATCAAACTCGCCATACCGCAGAAGCCGCTCCACAATGTGGTTCATCTGCTTTGACCGCGCCTTCTTGTCCATGGCTGGTGGGCATGGCAGTAAACGGGAGGCGCGAGGAACGATTCATTGGTGCAACAACTTGACGAGCTTTCATGCTGCGCCTCTGCCAATTCAGTATTGCCCAGCATGCCATCTCAGGCGCAACACCCACCGCAGATGCCAATCACGATTTTGGGCAGGCCGTCGTCGAGGCGGCTGAGCGAGGGCGCCGACGAATTGCGGCGGATGGCTGGCGTGACCGACGGCCGATCCAGACCAAACTCGTGCTGGACGGCGGGAGTCAGCGTCTCGCGCTGGGCCACCTTTGCACGGCGCGCCATCTCGGCATGGGACTGCGAGTGGGCTCGCAGGATGGCAGCGGGAGCGTCTGCGGCGTCGGCGGTGGCAACGGCGGCGGCATCGGGGCCAGCAGCAGGAGATGCTGATGGGCTGGTCCCTGCGGCGCCCCGGGGTGTCTTTGCGCCTTCCGACATCCCAGCTGACGCGTTTGGGGAGGCCTGCTGCCAGCCACAAACCCACCCACTCGCTCCTGGCCCTCCGGCAGTGCGCGACTGCACACAATGCCTGCCACAATGTGTGAAACATTCTGACTATAGATTCCTCAGGTTCCGCACAGGTGTACCGCCCCGGTACATTTTCTGGCTTTGGCTAGAAAACATAGTGATCGCCTCTATAACCAATAGGGGAAACGACGTATGCCTCTGTGACACTGCCGCCCGCCCACATCATCGTGGGCTATTCATCGTTAAAATCCATCCTGTCTGTTACATGCATTTGCTTGAGGAATTGCTGCCATCGTCGCCACCACCAGTCGCCACCACCAGTCGCCACCACCACCGCCGCCATCAGCCGAGGCCTTAGCCAGCATCGTGTGCTCGGTGCACAGGCGTCGCGTTTTAGCTAAAACGTCACCATGGCCCAGGCCCACGCCACGATTGCAACCGTGCGCAGCCTCGTCCAGGCCCTGCAGGCGATCAGAACGCATCAAAAGCTGCCATGCGCCGTCACGTTTGAGGCCGCCGCAGGGCTCAGCCTGCGCTTCCTGGACGGTGGGCATGCCATGCAGTCGGGCATCTCCCTAAGCACGTCGGTGAGCAGGGAGACAAATGCCATTGCCGGACTGCCGCTGCCGCTACCGCCGCGGGGTCGCTGCTGCCGCCACGGCATGCGCCACCACGCAGGAGTGCCTCCCTGCCTCCCTCATCTGATCTGCATTTGCAGGTCTTCTCGCAGTTCCAGGCGCCCGCCAGCCTCACCTTCTTTGTACCCCTGAGCATGCTGCTGGATTCGATTAATACTGTGGCGTCCAGCATGCCGCACGAGCTGCACCTGCAGTACCCAGGTCCCGACAACTCGCTGCTGCTGACGTGAGTTGGGACCGGGTGGCCGCACGGGGCAGGGACTTGCCCCCTTGGGTACACTCGAGTATGGGTCACATCACATTGCTATTGCATGCCGATATGGCATCTTTTCGAAGCCTCACCACCCGCTCCATGCCTGCAGCACAACAGAGGACGCCAGCGCCCGCACATCCATCTGCAGCTACGCCAAGGTTGCCACACTGGCACAGCAAGACATGAGCAGCCTGGACGACATGTGGGACCCGCAGGAAGTGTGCTCCCAAGTCATCCTGTCAGGTGGGGGTGGGGCGACCAAATCCATTCATGCCATGGCAGAGGGTGTTGTATCCGCTGTGCTAGCAAGCCCCACATGCCGCACGTGCAGGCCTGCTGCTGCGTGAAGCGATTGAGGATCTAGAGTGGACAGGCGGCGAGGTGGAATTTGTCATGCGGCGCAGCCCCATGCACTTTTCGCTTCAGAGCATCAAGCAGCAAAGCCTAGAGGTGGGTTTGTGTGTGGGGGGGTGCGTAGCGGTGCAGCTCGCACTGCTCCTGAGATAGGGAGCACAGCTGAACCTGTGTATTTGCCTGCAGATCACTTTCCCCGCTCATGCCCTGGATGGGTTTAGCTGCCACACGGAGGAGGTGCGTGCCACCTTCAAGTACAAGCACCTCAAGGCTGCGTTCACGAATGTGGCACAAAAAGAGCTGTGGAGCGCCAAGGTGCGGGCAGCGCTTTTGCAGTTGGAGACCAACCGGAACAGCTTCTGATGCCCAGCCTGGTGTGCATGCAGATAGCCATCAGCAGTCGAGGTGTGCTGCGGGTGACCCACATGCTCACGCTGGCGGGAGGTGCCCCCCTGGCGTCTCTCGAGGCTCAACCCCTGCTGGGTACCCTCACATCCCAGGTGGGTGGAGCGTGTCTATCAAATGCAGGTGTGCAGGCATGCATGTGCCCCAACGCTGCCAGTTCACTCGCTGCAGGCCCATGCCCCACGCACATGTATCGTCAAGTTTGTTGTCATGCCGTACGATGAAAAGGGGGATGCAGGATTTGGTGGGGACGACGACTGAAGGGCATGCGGCTGGCAGAGGCGCACTCGAATAAGAACTGGGATGCATTGATATCAAGCGTCCAAGTGAGAACCGCAGCTTTCCAATCAAATTTATGGCTCAACCCTGTACCTGCCTTCTAAGTCTGCGGGTTTGGTGGACGGGACGCCTTCTCCTCGACCCCCGAGGTGCCAAACCGTGACCGCAGCACCTTGCTCACATCCTCCAAGCTCACGCCCTGCATGCGCAAGTGCAAAACCACTACGTTGTCACACGTGGTTGCTTCATGTTGTCAACATGGGCTACTCAGCAGGCACAGCAAGGGAAGCGAGTTTACAATGCCAATTATTGGATGCCGCCAACACATGGGCATGAGCATGAAGCCTATGCCGAAGACATAGTCAGCACCTTGCCGCCCCACCTGTGCATTGAGCAGCACCATGGCGTGGTAGATGAGGTCTGCCGCTTCGCTGGCCGCCCGTTCCTTGCCCTCGCTCTCCTCCAGCGTCTGACAGAGCTCCGCTGCCTCCTCCCGCACCTTCTTGCACAGCAGTTCTGGGTTTGCCAGCAGCTTGGCGGTCCAGGATGGTTTGATGCCTGTGCCACAAGCATGGCATGGGAGTTGTTCGGTGGAGGACAGGACATCAGGCGCAGCATGCAACGCAGCCACACCACCATAAACCGCATGACCAGCGTTGCTCACAACCAACCTGCATTTGTGCCTGCCTCCGTCTCTGCCCGCCGCTGTGCAATTGTGCGCTCCAATGCATAAAGCGTGATCATGGGTGCGTGTTCCCGCGAGTGGTGGTCTCCTGCCTGCCGCACCTCCCCACCGCTGGCATCTAGTTGCGTAAAGAAGCATGTGGGCGCATTGGTGTGGCAGGCAGGCCCGATGGGCTCTGCCAAGTAGACCAGCGAGTCGCGGTCGCAGTCCATGTACATGCTGAGCACCTGCAGGCAGCATCACGACATCAGCCTGGGAACGCTCTGATGGCACAAGCTTCAGCCCAACCAGCATCCAGCTCGGCGAGCACTGGCCTTGATGTAGTGTCCCGATGTCTCCCCCTTGCACCACCGCCCGCTGCGGGAACGGCTGTAGAATGTAGCCAGCCTGCTCGCAAGTATCAGGGAGTCATGATTGCTTTTCCATCCAGCCAGGCTGTGCACCACGCGTCAACTTAGCTGTTGCCGCGGCCGGCCGCTCACCCGGTCTGGAGCGTCTCGCTGACAGCGGCGCGGTCGGAAAATGCCTGCATCAGCACCTCCCCGGTGTCGACATGCTGCGCAATGGCCACCACCAGCCCGCTGTTGTCCCATTTCAGGCTGTCCAGGAAGGCAGACATGTTTGGGACGGCGGCCTCGGGGCGCACTGCCGCCAAAGCTGCTGCCGCTCGCCGGGGCGCTCGACGGGTGTGCGGTGGGGTCCCTTCTCCAGGATGCTGCGATGGCATCATGCGCTGCCGCAGCGGAGGGCCCCCGACGCCGCGAGCGGAAAGGAGCATGCTGCAGGCGCCATGCCCGTGTCGCAAGCAGGGCTGAACGCTTGCTGCCGCCGCCATCGGGCTAACAAAACGAGAGACGGACAACGGATCTGCGCAAATGCCGCGAAATGGGCGGCCGATCCGGTCGTGCATTTTCTTTTTGTTTCTTGAATGTAAAGCCCTTTTGCGCTGCTTGCAGGTGTCAGCCGGTCGTCTATATCGCAAGGCCCAATGCAGTGATGACCGGCTCTTCCGCTGTTGCTGCCGGGCAACCTTCTGCAGGCCCTCCAGCTGCTGCAAACTCCATGGCCTGTCCTGCTGCTGATCTGCTGGCCAACTCCCTGCGCAGTGGCTCGGGCAAGCTCTTGCGGCTGCCAGACCCTGCCGCCCTGCTCGCCGCCCTCTGCCTGTTTGGCGATGCAGCGCCGGCAGCAGCCGCCGCCCCCAGCCTACCCACTGGCAGCGCCTGGCCTTTGCTCCGCATCGTCACCGCCGACGGCTTGCAGACGCATAGCGTGCAGCCCAGCATGGCCGCAGGCGTGGATAGCCGAGGTGCTACGTGGGGCTGAGGTGCTGGGCTGGGGTTGAGGATGCTGGGTCACACTCTGCTCAAGCTGCTCATGCTGCCTTTGGGAACGTGTCTGCAGACCCCAGGCGGCTTACTGGGACCAAACGGGCATGCGAGGAGTGAACCTTGATGCGGAGGGGGGAACAACCATCGGCATCCAGCTCTGCGCCTGTCTTGTCCACTTTAACAAACCTATTCATTTGTCCAAGCGTGCAACACCATCACATGAGGCTACAGCATCACCGCCGGGGTCGCTTGCTGTGCCCTCCGCTGCCGGCTCGCGCCTCCATGAAGACACCATCGTAACCCCTGTGGTCGATCTCCGAATAGGCGCTGTAGCTCGCAAACCGCCCACGTGAGCCATACCCCCCTCTGTCGCCGATGTACGGCTGCGATGCCGAGTGGGCATTCAAGCGTTCGCCACGCATCACCTGAGGCAGCTCACGTGGGCACTCACCTGCAAGAATCAATATAGTGTGCACCATTACCTATACCGGGGGTATGCAAGATTCATGACAACAAGGGGCGTCGCTGACTCGCACACAACTTTCACCACACATGACCCATACTTGGAGTTCACACCTGCATTGTGTCCGCCCTGCCCGCAGTTTGCGCAGCTCAGCTTTCCAGGCTGAGTGGGTGCTGCAGCGCAACTCAGGTGCCCTCGCCTGCCACAGGCGTAGCACCGCACGTGTCGCAGGTCGTGCTGGACATACTCCCGCTTGCAGCCACCATCCGCCCTGTGAGCATGTTCAGCGCCCATGTGTCAGCCATCTTTGGCAGCGCAGCACCCAATTGTGGGTTCATTGCACAGGCGTGCGATGCTGCCTCGCAAACCCTGCTAGTCTGCCCGCCACCCTACAGCAGACCCACCTCACGAAATCCTTCTCTCCTGCACAGGGGCAGCTCCCCGAGCCGCAGCGCAGGCATACCGCTGCCGACGACTCGTCCCAGCTGGCCTGCTGCCGGTAGCCATATGGGCAGTCGCGCGCCATGTGGCCTGGCCGCTGGCATCGCCAGCACAGACTGTTGGGACAGTCGCGGCTATCATGACCAAACTGCAGCGCATTGCGGGTGCGGCAGCATCAAGAACAGTGCTGCACCAGGGAAGGTGTGAGTGTAACCAAACATGCAGTCTTGGTTCGATGACGGCATTCAGCGCGCAACATCTCACCTCGGCGCACAAGAAGCAGGAGCGCTCCTTGGCCTCTGCCATGCAGTCTCGCGCAAAGTGTCCCTTGCCTCCACATTTAAAGCACCGCAGCCCCGCCTCCTCAAAGTCCTCGTCAAAGTACCTGATCGGCAGGGGTGCACAGCGCGGCTGGTTGGAAACATTGACGGCAGGAGCTGAGGGACGATTGACTGGCTTTAGCTGGGCGCGGCACTACAATAGCATGCTTGCTGTACAATGCCAACGCATGTCTCCAAGTAGGCAGCAACAACAAGCAGCAAAGCACCTTGGATCTCGCAACAAGCGAGCTACCTCTGCATTCCGCTCCTCGGCGGTCCCCACCAGGATGACGCCGGTGGGAGCGTTTTCTGGCTCACCAACCTTTGCACCGCTGCTGCTGCTGCTGCTGTCGCTGCCAGAAACCAGCACGTGGTCTAAATCCCGAAATGAGCCGGGTTTGCCCTTTGCCCCACTGTGGTGTGCTTCTGTTCTGCTACCACGGTCACCGCCTGGCTTCTCGTGGCTGCCCAGTTCTGCCGGCTGCTGCCTGCGCCCTGCAGGCGCCACTTCCCCACTCTCCGGGGACGATGTCTTCTCCTGCAGGCCTTCTGGCCCAGGTGCGCGCACGCCGCCGCCCCTGCCGCCACCGCCCAGCCGCTTGGCCGTGTCGGCGGCTGCCCTGCGACGCAGCGCAATGTCCACAGGATGCCCGTCGTCCTCGCTGTCAGGTGAGCTGCTGCTAGTTCCGCTCATGGTGCTTAGAAGGCATGCAAGAAACGCGTGGTGATGGCGTGCCAGCTGAGGCTAGGCGGAGATCGGGAAGTAGTGTAAGAGGGCCGGAACTAGTGTTGATGACGATGCACGGTCCGTGGGTCATGGACGGCGGCCGCCCGCCGCCGCCACCAGGGCGTGACCTAATGTGTCTCTCTCTCTTGCTAGTCTTTTTCCCAACGTACTTTTCAATCAATATTTACAGCTGTTTGATGAATGCATGCATGCTCTCGGTCGATGAGAGGAACGTTTTTGAAGGGCGGCAGAGTTTGTCGAGTAGAGTCAAGAGGACAAAATGTTGCAGGTTCATTTGAGGCAAAGAATATCGCAGTTCAGAGACACATTGTACAGATGCAAAAGATACAGGAAATGCCGGTGCGAATGCTGAGAAAAAGGCGTGGGCCGCAATAGCGCGCTCATGCCAGCAGCAGCCGCCGACTCGGCCTGCCTTGGCGGACGGCTTGACATGCTGATTGTCCGGTCAGACCTCGGGTGCTGAAACCGCTTGCGCTGCAGACAGGAGCAGTGCGACAGCAGAGTGCATGAGCAGGAAAGCATGGAACCGTGTGGCAGATCCGCCGCGCAAAACACGCACCAGGATTTGCATCCCCGCTGGCCCGCAGCGTCCTGGTATGTGTTGACAGGGCTGCAGATAAACAACCAATGGATCAGCATTCGCAGAGTGCAGGAGGCAACATTCGATGTAACAACGCTCCTTACCATGGAGTGCACAACCGATTTCCCTCCTTGTTGCTATACTGCCCTCTTGGGCAAGGCTGTGGGGCCCTGCACTCATTACGCATGGTTGATGTTGTGTTAGCTCATCGTTTCCTTTCAGTTTGTTCCACCCAAGGCAGCATGCAATCCATTCTGTAGTAGCACGCCATGGTGCAGGCACAGGCACCTTGTGGCAAGCGTAGGGCACTGGTTGCCCAGCGGGCACCGAGTGCATGTCGCCGTTCTTGTGCTGCTTGTGAACGAGCCGGGCTTGCTGCGACAGGGGCAGGCAGGGCAAACAAATAGGCTGAGCAACTGCAGGTTTGCCGGAAGCAGCAGACGACAGTTGGCGCACGAGTGGCACCCAACTGGCGGCACTTCACCCTTGTCTCACCACGGGCTGCATGAGCCACTGCCCGAGGATGAATAATACCCAGCAAGGCACGGTCGGCATGAGGCGGCTCCCCCCATGGAGTAAGTGCCAGCGGGGCATGTCTTGCAGCCCTTTGAGCCAGCCGTGTTGGCATACTGCCCAGGAACACAAATGTTGCACTCGTCGACGCCCTCCTCGTTGCTGAAGGTGCCGATGGGGCTGCAATTGAATGAACAAAGGAAGAGCAAATGGTGCAAATCAATGTCTGGCTCTAGCTGCACTGCCCCATTGTCTGTGCAGCTGCTTACCATAGGCTGTATGTTTTGGCCCCCGTCGTATTTACAAATGCGCCCCCGGGTGAGGCGACACATGATGTGGCTGCAAAGGGCCACACAACAATTTGAAATGTCAGCGCAACCCAATTTGCACAGACTCGCTGCTGGCCAGAAGCTCATGTATGCACAGTGGCTTCACCTGCGTTGGGTGAGTAATAGCCGTGCGCGCAGGGTTGACAAGCAGCGTTGCCAGTCTCGGATGTGCTAGTGCCCGCCGGACACAAGATGCACCGAGTCTGACCGGTTTGGTTCTGAAAGGAGTTGATCTGCAGGATGGCACAAAACCAATGAGCAATGACACAACGCCTGCAACTGGAAAACAAAACCAAGCCCTCTGGCCTAGTATTTTGCAAAGTTGTGATGCAACGCACCTCGCAAGGCAGGCATGTCCCACTGAGTGCTGGCAGCGTGGTGTTTGTGCCATTGTTGTTGTCAGGCATGTAGTGCCCCGTGATGCTGCAAACCATCACAAAAACAGTTGAATTTATTTGACCAGAGCTCGGTCAAATGAAAAATGATCAAAAATGAAAGCCACACGGACAGAGCCCTTCTTACCATGGGGTGCAGGCTGTGTTCCCACTTGTAACCTCGCGGCCCGCGTTGCAGATGAGGCATGCTGAGCTGCAACACGTGGGCATGGAAAGGTCGTGTGCATTTCCACACACACGGCATGGGACACATGAGACCTTGGACAGATGACAAACGAAGCTGGTGCTGTCGACTTCCCCACCTTGTGCTGCTAAAAGGCCTGTAGGTGTTGTCCACACAGGGATCGCACTTGTCGTTCCCAGGTAGAGCGGAAGAGCTTTGCGTTGGAGCCGTCCCTGCTTTGCACGGCTGGCAACTGGACATGCCTGCAAAGCAGGAATGCAAATGTGAGGAGAGCAGCACTTCTATCCGCAGCGCATCTGTTTAACAACAAGACACTGCGCTCACCAGTGCGTGGCGCATACTTGTTGTCACCCAGGCAAGGCTGGCACGTTTGTGGGTTGGAGGGATGGCGAGTTGAGCCCAGCCAGTAAGAAACCTCTCCCTTGCTGAACTCGATGGGGGCGGGCAGGGCAAACAATCAGGCTGAGCAACTGCAGGTTTTTCGGCAGCAGCAGAGAGAGTTGGGGCACGAGTGGCACCCACTGATGGCAATTTATTCACCTGCACACTTGAATCTGTGCCCGGTCGTATGTGGTGGTTGTGCGGTTCACCTCCTTGTAACCTGAGAGAATGATTGGTGCAGATTGTTTGTCTAGAGCAGCACATGGCAGAGCGGCCACAGCACGTATTGGTGGCAACAAGCAGGTCGGAGCAAACAGCTGGCAGGATCACACCTGCTGGGATGGGCCGGCACGCATTGTTGCCGATGGAAGCATCCCCGCTACGGTAGTAGCCATCTGGGCACGGTACGCAAGTATGGTAGCTTTGGCCCTCTTCAATGGTGGCATAGGTGCCAGGGTCACAGGGGCTGCAGGAGGTGGACCCTTCCTGACCCACAAGCTCGCCAACGGTCGCCGCGCTGCCCGTGGGGCAGTACAGGCACTTCTGCGCCCCAGTACTACGCTGAGCCAGCCCATACACTGGTGAAAACTGATTGCGAGGGCAGATTGTGCAGTTGGTAGCCGAAGCAGATGAATAGTAGCCTGGCAAGCTGCAGGATGCATTGTGTGGATGGAATGCGGCTCAGAGTAAGGCTTCCTCTGCTGCAGCAAAAGAGTTCAGTCGTAAGCAACTCGAGCATCTCACCAGGGAACACAAAAATCCTCACGCCCCACTTTGCGCTCTGTGCCCGCAGGACACTCATCGCAGGTGGTGGTCTCAGCATTGTATTCGTGCCCTGCACCCATGAACCACGCCTCTTGGTGGAACAGTGGGCGGTCAAACAGTTTGCCCTGCCTTGTGCAGCCTGCTGCACAGTCCTGTCGTAACGCACCATCTGTGCATACAGAGTCGATGTAGGGCACTGTGCAGTAGTCGGCCCCTACTTCAGATGTGTACCGCGGGTCTGTGCTTGCATTGCACATCTGACAAGCATTCTGGGCCTGCCCAAGGAAGGGCTGGAAGGAGTCTGCATGCACGAGGGAGCAAGACAACAGCAGCACTTTGGCGGCGGGTCACCGTGCCCTGCCAGTCTGCAATCCATCCAACAAGCAGCCCCACCTATGCTGCACAGTGTGGCGGACGTGCCGTTGCAGGTTGCACCAACGGGGCTGCACGGTGGAACAGGCACTGAGGTTCAGTGAGCATTGGAGCCAGCTGAGCCATGAATCAAGACTGCCTGCAAGCAGTGCAAAAGCTCTCACCACGGGCGGCAGCCATCCACAGCGTCGGCCGCATCATAGGAGCCAGCAGGGCATGGTGCTGGTGTGGCGGGCACACCGCCCACTTGATTTCCCACGACTTCAATGGTGCCCGAGCACATCTGCAGACACGCATGCGCTCAGTGCTTTGGCCGCAGGAAGAAAGGGGGCATGCTGCACAAAGACATCCAGACAGCATAGGCCATACTCCAAGCTTGCCTTCTCTTGAGAGACAGCCACGGTGCCAGCCACCGACGTGTTTGTGGTTGCCGGCCAGTAGCTGAGCGTCAGGGTGGTGCTCGATGCTTTTGCAAGTGTCAGCAAGTATGAGCTGGTGGGCGTGGCAAGGCTTGTGGCAATGCGGTCCGGCGCGATGTAGTGTGCTTTCAACTTCATGCTGCTCCAGTACGCTGCACTGGGCTCCGAACATGGAGTGTCGCGGATCGGCCAGATCTGAACACCGCAGTACTGATCCACGTAAACACTCAGGTAGGTGGTTGGGCTTGATGACAGCGTGCACTGTCCAAAGAGCGGTGGGTTGCCAAAGCTGAGGTCAGCTGGCAGGTTGCATGCTAACGTCTTCAGTGTAGATGGAGTCTCAATGGACAGTACATGGTAGCCTGCAGTGGCGGGGTGGAGAAAGCCTCCAACTCAAATCAGGGTGGTGCATGCTTGCTGTGCGTACAAGCAGGGATCCCAGCAGCCTGTCAGCTGCCACGTGCCCGGTGTTGGCGCCTCGAAATCGTCGCTGCACTCGGTGCCGTTGAAAGTGCCGGCTACACACACAGCGATGCCTGCCATGCAGCGCACACATAGTGTTGCGCCTGGCAGCCTTGCATAGGAGCGGTATGGACTGCAGGAGGCAGCAGATACCGCATAGCTGTCAGTCAACTGTTGATGCCAGCACAGAAGCTGCTGTGATGCTTGTTGCCCTCACATTGCATGAACAAAGCAGTTGCTTGCTGCTAAGCATACCTATGCAACCAGCTCACCATGCGTTGCATGTGGCTTTCCCAGTGCTGCTCTGGTATGTTCCTGGATTGCATGGCAGGCATTCAGAGTAGCCTGCAACACGCATAATGGCCAAAGGAGCGGTTTTGTCAAATAGCTCGTACGTGCTTCTCCACACTGCACAGCGCCCTCTGAATGGGTCCAGGGCAGCGCCATGCAGCCCTCACCTCCGGACGCGTAGCTCCCTGCCGCACACGGTGAAGTGCAGACTGATGCTCCCACACTCCCAACAAACTTGCCCGCGGCGCAGGCTGTGCAGGCCTTGCCATCAACAGAGTATGTCCCTGCATGTCACCAAAGTAGCCAGCAGCCACCGACCTGATGGTCCAGCACATGCCTGGTGGTTCACTTGGCACTTCGGGGTTCTCATTAGCCTGCTGGCAGACTACTCACCTGCACGGCACCGGGCACAGGCCTTGCCGCCGCTCGGCAGCTCCACCGGCCGCGTGCCGGGCGGGCAGTCGTCTATCAGCGCCAGTTGGCATTCGGCGCCGTTTGACACGGTGCCATCTATTGCACACACTGCAGGCTCGGCATCGCTACCAATCATGGCTGTAATGCTGTTGTCGACCGCCGATAACTGCAGGCGGGCGGGGGAGGGGCTGGCGGCGCTTCAGGGTTCACCATGCCAATGAATCTGGAGATGAATTGCCGGGGCCGCTGCCCCACCCACTGCACAAACCTTGGTGATGGCATACTTGAGCGTGCAGCTGCCTGCCACGGTGGCGACCGTGACGGTGCCATTCGTCCATGTCACTTGGCTAATGCCCAGCACAAAAGCTGCGCCGTACACATGCCGCTCCAGCGCGGTCTGGAAGGCGCTCTTTAATGCTGACGGCGTGAGCGAGCCGGGGTCCACCGGTGCCGATGCCGACGTGGGGCACTGCACTGGCCGCTTGTAGGTGCCCGCAGCATTTGTGGACCAGATGCCCGGCACGTAGACCCCGCTGCCGTTAAGCGGCGTCAGCGCCACCTTGCAGTCAGCATCAATGCTGGCCTGAAAGCTGGCGAGGCAGAGGGCGTGCAGGTTGGTGTCGCATGCGGTGCTATTTGTGGACAGTAGGTCCAGCGTGATGTACCCTGCAGAGAGGGAATAGATGGAAGGCCGCAGTTGTAGCACTGCTACCGCAGGTCCCGGGCGGGTGGCGTCGGTGGCTCCTACCATACACCCCCACCCGGGTTGAGCCTTGGCTCGATTTGCAGACCTTTGTTCGGGCTTTGGGGAGCTCTCACCTGCTGTGGCCGTGCAGGTGGCCGTGCAGTTCGGCAGGGCCAGCAACAGGGCCAGGAGGGCAAGACGCCATCTTGAGCTCGTGTGCATGCTAAATAACAAGTCAATTGCTGCGCGCAGGGCAGCCGCGAGGGGTTTGGGAATGCGTCGTGTAAGGGGCGCAGGCCAGCCCGAGTGCGCTTGCCTGTTCTACTCATGCGTGTAGCAACACTCTGCCGTGCAGCACGCGAGTGTTGGGGTTGGCATGGCAGCGTATTGTCGGCGTCTCGCCGGTGTGGGTATCGCGCATCCGCTGCTCTCGGTGGCTTAACAGTTTTGCGTAGGCGTCCTGTAAATCGATTCAAACGCCTGGAAACGTGAATGATAGATGGCCGTGGCCACCATGGTTGGCCCCGGAGCTCCGGACGGACGCGTCCACCAGGGCAAGGTGCCAACGAGAGAGGAGGACAGGCGACCAGATGGCGCAATGACGGCACTGTGAACACTCGTATTGTGTTCATCAAGCTAGCAGGGGAGTGCGAATTATCAGGTTGGCTCCGGCAAGGTGCACTTGTAAGTGACCCAAGTTTGTGCGACCCAACAAAAAGAGCTGCTTCCTGGCAAGCTCCAATGCATTGAATAAGCTCATCCCTCGCCATGGCCAGCCGTGGTGTCAACCACACATGCCGCCAGCGCCTCCAGAGTGCTCCGCCCTCCCGTCCCAGCGGCTGTGCCCAGCTGCAGCTCAGGTGTGGCGCGCAGGGAGGTGTCTGATAGATCTGTGCTCAGGGCAGAAGGTGCAACAAGCTGGTGGAGTCCTGGGGAAGCTGGGATGCCAACGGCAGCAGGGGTGCGGTTCACGGGTGCAGCCGGCGCAAGGCTTAGCATTAGCTCAGGTTTGGTGGCAGCAGTGCTCCTCTTAATTTGATCAGTAGGCAAGCCAGAGACTGACTTTGGTTTCACAAGTGAGCAGATGGTGGGAGGCACCTCGTTGCCTTGCGTCGGCAGCCGCTCTGTTGATTCTTGCAGCCTTAAGCGGGACCTTGGCCATGCCATTTCCTCACTTAGGCGGCTTGCTGAGGCATGGTAACGCCTGGCACTCATGATGCAAAGGCTGCGTGCCGCTCAGGCAGGCATCGGCAGCGGCGGCGGCATGGACATAGATCAGATCTACCTGCTGCATGCATTGTAATGGGCGCGTTTTTCCGTGCGCCTGTTTCTGTGTAGACCTCTTCGTCCGCCGATCTGCCACATTTCTGTCGCTGTGTTGCGCCAGCCAGAGTGCAGGCGGAACAACCTTCACCAAGCCCACGGCCTCTCATCGAATCAATAGGAGTTGTCTCGTGTCATCTGCATATCCACTGGAAATGGCGGCCTGCTGCAGGCCTCCGCGCATACTGCTGGGCAAGCTGTTGCAGCGCGTGCGGGCCGCCCAGCGGTGCAGCGTGCTGCCCCTGCAGCAAACACGGCAGTGTTGCGCGGCAGCAGCCAGCAGCGCAGCAGGGCAGAATGGCGGCGGGCCAGCGGGCGCCGCCGCCGCTGCCGCCGCTGCTGCCCAAGCAGACCCAGCGACCTTTGACGGAGACGACCCCCAAGTGAGCCTACCCCGCAAGCTTGGGACAGAGGCGGCCGGGGCCAGCAGCACGGGCGCCTTTCAACGGCTGCCCATGGTTGCGCCCAGCAAGGAGCTGCTCGACTCGGCCGTGCGCCGCGCCGCACGCGTGCCGTACAACAAGAAGCTGAAGAATGAGGCGCAAAAGGCCAAGAACAGGCGCGCTATGCTGGGCTTGAGCATGCAATGCATGTGGCAGTGCCCTCAGCAAGGTTGAGCGACAGCCGCCCTGCTCTTCCACCCCTACTTCTGCAGGGCTGCGCGGGCTCTGGACACGCTCATGAAGGAGCTGTGCGTTCCTCTAGGCACCTACATCAAGGGCTTCCCGCAGCCCGCCCGCCTTCACCCCTTTGAACGTGCTCTGCTGGAGCTGACGGTGGGGCCCGGCACCTACGAGCGCGTGCTGGCGAGGGTGGAAGCGCTGCGGCGATCCACCGTGGAGGTGCGCTGCACGGGCGTGGGGGGCAGCTGGGTAGGAGGCAGTTGAGCGGGAGTGTCAATGCTGGGTTGACCTGGTGACGATGCTGCTAATGGCCGTCACAACCTGCCGCTTGGCATCACCGTCAGCATTCTCGCTGGGCCATGCAGGTGGGCAAGGCGTACGCGACGCGCGCTTCCCGTGCCGTCAACAAGAAGGATGCGGTGGCGCTGCAGGAGGAGGGCTTTGAGCGCCTGCAGGCTGTGTTCAGCCGCGGAAGCTATGCAGGTGGGGGCTGGGTGGAACAGTTAACACAGGGTTCTGCCTTGGAATGCGCTGCCAGGAGCAGCCTTGTGCCAGCACACCTTGCAACCCACTCTCCTGGTATTCCGCCTGCAGTTGACGAGCTCAAAGATGTTGCCAAGAGCCTGCGGCGTCTGCCGGTGGTGGAGCCAGAAGTGCCCACGGTGAGTGGGCTGCGAGCGGGGAACAGCTGCGGTAGTGCCCTGTCCACGATTCAGCCTTCTACTCATACCATTCCCCAACCAAGCTGCCTTGCCCACTTTCCATCCCCGCCGCCCTGCCCGCAACGGCAGGTGGCGCTGGTGGGCGCGCCCAACGTGGGCAAGTCGTCGCTGGTGCAGCTGCTGTCCAGCGGGCTGCCCGAGGTGCAGAACTACCCCTTCACCACGCGCAGCATCAAGATGGGCCACTTTTTCGTGTTGGGCCGCCGCCACCAGATCACAGGTGGGCGGTGTTGGCGGGGGTGGTGGGTGGGGTGGGGTGGAGCAATGATGTGAGGCTGTCACCGCGGCACCTTTCCTTGCCTGCTTTCCCTGCCCCTGCAGACACCCCCGGCCTGCTGAACCGCGCCGAGGAGGATCGCAACGCCATGGAGCGGCTGACGCTGGCATGCCTGCAGCACCTGCCCACCGCTGTGCTCTTTGTGGCCGACCTGACCGGCGAGTGCGGCACCGCGGTCGTTGATCAGTGGCACATCAGGTGTGGGTGGATGTGTGGGTGCGTGTCGGAGCCACGCTTTGTAACTGTGCAGATGCAGTATCTCCACCAGCCGCTCCTGACATCTTGGTTGCCACTGTTAATGTGCCATGTACAGGGAGGAGCTGCGGGCGCGGTTTGTAGGCAAGCCCTGGGTGGACGTGCTGTCCAAGGCGGACCTGTTGGAGGAGGAGTTTGACGAGGCTGACAGGCAGCGGTCGATGCAGCACCAGCCTCAGCAGCAGCAGGCGGTTGCCGGCGCGGTGCAGTTTGCCGCGGCGCTGCCGGGCGCGCTGCGCGTGAGCAGCACCAGCGGGGCGGGCGTGGACGAGCTCAAGGTGGCCATGCTGCAGATGCTGCAGCGGCACGACCTCCCGCAAGACGAGCAGCAAGAGCGGAGTTTGTTGAGCCATCAACATGTCGAATGCAGTGCAGGACCTGGAGATGCTGGGCCGGATTGAGAGGATGGCTGCTTTGAGGCATGTATTCTGGCCTGCCTGGGATGGCATGCTCTGCATGTTGATCCTAATTATCTCCCTCTATAATTTTCGACGTGTTCAGCATAGTGAATCTGCACACACAATTGGATAGCAGCGTGGGGCGGCGGCTGGTGGCAGTGCTAGCCTCCTGCCAACATAGTTTACTGTAGACAGCAGATTGGGGCCCTACATAGAGCATCACGAGGCGGCCGTTGACCAGCAGGCATTCCTGGGCCGGCCCTGCATGTTGAGGTGCCTGGCCAAATCCTGCCATCAAGTGCACCCACACAAGTGTGAGCTGCTTGGCCAAGTCTTACAGCAGCAGTTTTCTCTGGGCTGCGACATGACACACTGAGTGTCATTCGTCGTGTGGTGTCTCCGGTGTCCATGGCCGGCCGGGTGACCGTCGGACGATGCCCCCGGTCTGAGGGCCGGAGGAGGCACTCAAGACAGAGGCCCCGGTTCGCCTCCCGCTGGCCATAAATCGACGTCGGAGCATATTTCAGGCAGAATAGACGCCAGCGGTCGGGTGCAGAGCCGCGGGCGTTTCATCCGCCAACCGGCCCATCCGGCGTCCGCAGCCAAATTCCCCACGATAAAAGCCGCCTCCTCCGCCCGCATTTCCCATTCTACACTCCTGCTTCTTCCCCAACAAGACACGCCCTCCACCCCGATCCCCCGCCACACCACCCGGTGCTGTGGCCCCGCGACCGACACACCACCTCGCCCAACCTGCCCCACCCTCCCTCAGGTGCGTTCAGGGCCCCGCTACCCGCCCTTGCATTGCTGCGCAGCAACTGCACGCGTGCGGGGCCGCTGCCTTGTGCCGGACACCATGCGTCGCGTCATGTCCGGGGCAGCCACCGGTCCTCTCGTTCCTCCTCTCACCCATCTGCCTCCCCTCGCCCCCTGCTGCAGGCCGTTGAGCCTCCCCCGCCTCCTCCATGACCCTGCCTCACCGCGCGGCGGTGCTGGCCCTGGCGCTGCTGGGGCTGGCCGCCTACGCCAACGCTGCTGCCTGCACAAATCCAGGCACACTCAAGCTCAACCTCATGACATCCTCCGTTCTGGACCACAACTTGGCCAAGTGCCTCAGTTCCATGACCCTCACCCTTGCAACCGTTGATACAACCTGCCAGGTGTGCCCGGGGTGACAAATGTGCAGCCTCTTGGCAGACTAACTTGCGCCTTGAGAGAGCTGTAGGTCATTGGTTGTATGACTGACACATGTGACTATCTGCCCTTACTTGCTGCAGGTGACCCTGACCCCGCTGGCCGACGAAGGCAGCTTTGTGCCCAGCCTGTGGAGCTCCAATCCAAGCGCCACCTACACTCAGCTGAAGGAGTGCCCCACTGCGGCTGCCACCGCAACGGACGCTGACCAAGCTGTTGCTCTCGTGGCGGCCGTCAACAAGGCCATCTATGGTACTACTGTCAACACCGCCGATGTCACAACTGTCGCCCTGGCCGCTGGCCTTGTCACCCTCACAAAGACCGGTACCAATGCTGTGGTCATCACCTATGCCATTGTGGAGGTGCGTGGGGAGCATCTTAGAGGTACATCATGTGCTAGGCTGCTGAGGGCAAGCAGGAAGGGCAAATTGAACACAGGCTGGCATATAACATCATTTTCAAAACATCATTTTGCCGGTTGTGACCCTTGCCTGCTACTGCAGAGTACGGTTGCGGCCGCCGGCGTTTCAACCTGTGCGGCGTCTGGCGGCACATTTGCCACCGCCGACAACTGCCGCCTGGACCTCACCACCGATTGCCCTGCCGGCACCTACGGCGCCCAGATCAGCGGCATGAAGGTCTGCGCCAAGTGCCCCGCTGGTGAGTGCCCTGGCGGTCTTAGGAACTGCATTGGAGTTCCCACCTGCTCCACTGGTTTCTAATTAATTGATTGCGTGGCTGCAGGTACCTACGGCAACGGCAACGGCGATGGCTGCACCCCCTGCCCAGCCGGCCAGTCCACTGCCGGCCAGGTCGGCCAGTCCAGCTGCGGTAACTGCGCCGCCGGCACCTACGCCCAGGGCGGCAACTCAGACTGCCTCCCTTGCCCCGCCGGCAGCTACTCTGCCGCCACTGCGGGCACCTGCACCGAGTGGTGAGCTGAGGATGTCCAACCTGTCCTCAAAACAAAGTATCTTTCACCTTCTCGTGCTGACCACCCCCTCCTGCCGCCCCCTTCCCGAAGCCTGCGGGCTTCTTGTTCTTGGTACCCCGCAACCCCCCCCGCCTGCGGTGGCATCAAGGGGGTGCCCACGTGTGCGGCAGGAACCAAGGGGGTTGCTTGCATTGATTCGGGTCTCGATGATGTTTCGCCAGGTAACTGCTGCAGGGTCCCCCACCACCCAACCTGCCTCTGGCACTTGCAGTTCACTCTTCAAAAGGGCCTTCCTCTATGCAGGCTGGGCCGTGCTCGGGCTGACCACTGCTGCTGTGGCAAACCTCAAGAGCGGTCTGACCGCCCCATATGCGTCGTACAACCCTGCCCTGTTTGGCAGCTGCCTCATGACGACAGAAGCCTCGACCTTCCTCTCTGTGTTTGTCGACTATGTGAGTTTGGTGTGGCTGCTGGCTGGCAACCACATTCTTTCCCTACAACAAAGCTGCCAAACACAGCTGCCATTAAAGCCTGCTGCTCCCAGCCTTTCCCTGCCTGACCTGTCCGGATGCATGCTTCACTCTCATTGCAGGACTGCTCTGTGGAGATCCTCCCCATGACAGAGAATGCTTGCTCAGAGCCTGGTTCCGCCGCCTACAACTACAACGCGCTGGCCATCCACGGCTACTACAAGAGCGTATCGACCATCGCCACGCTGATGCCATCCCAGACCGGGTCGACTGTCGAGTGAGTGTCTCATCTGCTGCTGCTGCACCCAACAGTTCTGCGTCTTAAGAGCTTTTTATCAATGACAATGCATCGTGCTTGGCCTGTCTTGCAGCTCCTACCTCATGACATTCACTGGGGAAAACACCAATGATCTCACCGCCGTGCTCTGGGCGGCATCCACCAACCCCGCCACAGCCAACACAATACTGACAACCGCTCAGACGGTGAGAAAGCGCTGTCATCACTGGTCAATTGAGGGGCTATCTATTTCATCCGGCTAACACAAGGGCCCGAAATTCTGCTCCACAGAAAACCGGCACGTTCACCGTGGAGGGAGGCCAGGTCGCGCTGAAGCCTGCCGTTGCTGACGTCAACTGCCCCGCTGGCTCGTATGTCAATGCCGCAGCGTCATCTTGTGTTGCCTGGTGAGATACAAGCTAGATATGCACTCTTGATACTTCGATGTACTGTGGCTTCTGGTCAACTATGCTTACCAGAAAGCGTCCAATGAATACCCTACATGCAGCCCGGCCGGCTCCTCTTGCGGTGGTGGCGAAAGTGCCCAGGCGGTCGAGTGTCCCGCAGGTGAGCCCCTTGGTGTGGTTCTTTTTGAGATCCTGATCCTGTGAATAGCATGAAACGACACTTGAAAGAACCCCCTGTCACCCTAAATGCAGACCAGTACAACCCGTACGTTGGCAAGAGCTCCTGCACCACTTGCGCAACCTGCCGTGCAACAGGTTCTGGAACCCTGGCGGAGTATTGCCCAGATAGCACGAGTGCCCTGGGCGACGCCTACTGCACCCTCCCCTGGATCGATGTGACCTGCGGCGGCGGTGCGCTTGTTGCATGCTAGGAGCCTTTGTCTTGCAGCCTTCTGCGCCTGTGGCATGCACCCACCCATCATGGCCTCCGCGCCTTGCAGGCCAAGAGTACGATGACTCCTCATTCAAGTGTGAGGCCTGCCCTATTGGTACAGCACGTGACGCACCTGGCCAGACCGTCTGCACTGCTTGGTGAGTAGTGACCCGCTCTGGCACAGTCGGCAATTGACAGGCCTGCTTTTTCCAGGTTCAAACCTGATGTGCTCTTGCCGGTTCAATGAACCCATAACCTTGCTTGCAGCTTGGCTGGAACCATTGCTGCCACCACTGGCTCGACGACGTGTGATGCATGCACCGGCAACCAGGTGGCCGCAGAAGCCGGACTGAGTGAGTTGGTTGCACATGCACGTATGTGGCTAACCCTACGCTATTGGATCATGGCAGCAGCACGGTGCCTGTACACTTTCTAAAAGCGGGCCATTATGCCGGGTGCAGGCGAGTGTGTGTCCTGCCCAGTGGGCAGCATTGCCAACGCAGGATTCACAACATGCACGGCGTGGTGAGTCCCATTGGCACAGCTAGTCCCAAAGGGCTGCACGAGCCAATCCTCTTATTGGGCACCACCTTTGCTGCTGCTGGAGCACTGATTCACCGCTGTTGCTGCCCACTGTCTGCAGTGGCCCTGGCACGTATGCCGCTGACGGTGTGGTTGCTGGTGGCACCTGCACTGCCTGCCCAGCGGGCTACTACCGGTCGGGTGATGCTAGCCCCGAAAACAACAAGTGCAAGCCGATCCCAGCAGGTGGGTGTCCTCCAGGCAGCTCTCAGGGCCTGTTGTGGTTGTGAGCAGTTGATTGGTGCCCCATGGTGTTACGTTGACAAACGCACCTCTGACGTTTGCTCTTGCCAGGCTATCGCGAGCGCAAGATCGCCAGTGATACTGGTGGTGACCCTACCGGCACCCATGCCAGCCTTGCCAAGTCTGAGATTGTGCCGTGTGAGAAGGGGACCTACTCTTCGTGGAATGGTGACCCGTCCAACCCCCTGAGTCCCGTCCCTCGCACCCCCGTCGTTTCCCCTGGCAACGAGGACAACAGCAAGACATGCAGCCCGTGCACCGGCAAGTCCTACGCGCCCCGCACCGGCATGCAGAAGTGCCTGGCCTGCAAGGCCGGCACTGTGCCCATTGAGAGCGCAGCCGGCCTGCTGGGCCCTGACGCGTGCGCCTCTTGCAAGAATGCCAACGATGTCAACCACGTTGATGATGCTGTTGATCACCTGAGCGGACTGTCTAGCTATCGTGATGCCTATACCGACCAGTGAGAACTGCTGCTGCTGCAGACTTAATTGCAGGATTTGCTTGCTCCACCTCCGAACACCCCTTCATTTGCCTGACTTGCTTACGTTGCTACTGCAGGAACACCTGCAAGATCTGCCCCGCGGGCCGTGAGACTGGCCCCAGCAACTATGCCGCCTGCACCCTGTGGTGAGCAGAGAGTCGCCTATGCCTACAGGCTGGCCAGTGTTGCTTTGTTCAGGGCTGCAAGCAAGCATGTGCTCCTTTTCACATTGCGTGCCCCTTTATCGCATCCCTATGCAGCCGCCCTGGAACTGTCATGCCGCCCTTGGTTGATGGTGTTTTCACCCAGGCCCTAGACGACACCTGCGCCGAGTGCAATGTGAGATGCAGCGGCGACCACTGTCTGCATTCCGATGCCCCATATATTATTATCGAAGGGCGCCATCAACACAGTGGTATTGCATTTTGCTTTGCTGCAGCCCCACAACTTCCAGTCCCAGGCAGGCAAATACACATGCAACCCGTGCGCCGCCGGCAGCGAGGCGCCAGGAAGCGGCAACATTGCATGCTCCAAGTGTGCCAAGGGCTGGTACAACCCATTCTCCGGTCAGTTTTCTGACTATGCTCTCTTTCAACATGCTGTGTGATTCATGCTTGGCTGCAACACCTCACTCAAAAAGGCTACCACCCATTTCCTGATAATGCAGCGACAGCCTGCGTGATGGCCCCTGCTGGCTCCTACGTCAACACCACCGGCGCCATCACATACACTCCCTGCGACGTCGGTCACTTCAGCGATGAGAAGGGCTCCGATTGGTGCGACAAATGCCCACCCGGCCAGTACGCCAACACCCGTGGCTCCAAGGCCTGCAAGGCAAGCTGGCTGCAGCGAGGGCTGCTGTCGTGGAAAGCGCCTTGATGCCGGGGAGCGCTCTCACAGCAGGCTCCAACAGTGCAATTGACTCTTTCCCTCACTCCTTTCACTTATGCAGACCTGCCCCGCCGGCACATACTCCGCCGGCGCTGCATCCTCGTGCAAAGTTTGCGCACAGGGCTACTATGCTCCTTCGGGCAGCAGCATCTGCAGTCCTTGGTGAGCTTGCTGCCAGTGCGCTCATGCTTCAAATGGCCAGGCTTGCAAAGCGCACTGATTGCTTAAAAGACCAATGAAATCACGCCGTGGGCTTGCTTCCTGGTGTGCAGCAAGGCTGGATACTACACCAAGGCCACCAAGTCGGCCACCTGCGACCTGTGCCCCAAGGGCTCCCAGTGCCCCCTGCTTGCCACCAAGTGAGTTGCCCAACAATGTGTTCCTACTCTTGTTGATTGTCTCATGGCTGCAGTTTGTGCAAGTGATTAATGAAACCGTTTGATGTTACTTGCCTTGCAGGACCCCCACAGCATGCAAGATTGGCTACTACAGCAACAAGGAGGGCAACAAGCTGTGCAGCCCTTGGTAAGCAGCGCCATTCTAGGGCCCTGGCAACAGAGCGGTGTTACTGGAATCCTGCCGGGAGAACAGTACATCAGCTCATCACTCACCGGAAACAAAACTCTTCCCTTATGCAGCCCCGTGAACTACTACCAGGGCACCGAGGGCAGCACGGAGTGCATTGCTTGCACCGCCGGCACCAGCACCCGTGGCCTCACCGGCCAGTCCAAGTGCCAGGCCGTGCGCAGTCTGCGGCTGGCCATGTTCTAAGCTGTCCGCAGTCGACGAGATGATGATCTGCTAGAATCGCCAGCCAAGTGTTGTTACCTACATTTCTCCCCTTTCGCTAAAACACTTTTGCTAAAACACCTCCTTATGCGAATGCTGCCCTTGCATTGCACAACAAGTACCCTTTTCTATCGCTGCCAAGCTTAAAAACACCTTTTGCAATGCACTCTACCCACAGCTCCCCCAAGCCTGCCTAATCACCCTGCCAATTCACTGCATGCGCCATCACGCCGAATGTGTTTTCAGCCCTCACCCACCACTTGCCCATCGTTGCTGCCGAGCAGTGCTGTGTGCGGCGCCGTACAATCTCTTGTCGAAGATAGAATCTATCTTGTAAACAAACACTTAAAACACATTTGGGTCCTTGAGAAGAAGGGAGGTAGGGTCCTGTCCCAGCTTCTCCCAGAATTTAACCGCACACGGCGCTCGTCTTACCGTTTCTTCGCTAGTGGAGAAGAGCCAGCCAACGAGTTGAAAGAGGAGGGCTGCTGTCCCACACACCAACCCTCCCCTCCCCCTATTCCTTCCCCTCCTCCCCGTGCCATCTTCCCTCACCCCGCCGCCACGCGGGCCCGCCAGCCTGGCGCGATCTCGCCCAGACGGCCAGGCTTCCCCTCGCAGCAGCGATCCTTCCCTCCCGCCGTCCCTCTCCTGTTGGGTGCTCCAGCGGAGAGCACCAATGCTGCTCGCCCTTGCCCAACCCCCTCCTGTTGGGAGACTCGCCCGCGCGCCGGAAAACTGCAACAATCGCCTCTCACAGCAGCGGCGAAAAAGCAAACACCAATGGCGAGGGCGCCTGGGCTGCCAGCCGTCCCGCCCGCGCCCCGCCCCCGCAAAGGCGTCCGCAGCGGCAAGCTCGCCCGCACCTGCTGCCACAACTGGCAGCTATGATGCCTTGGTGCGCTGGTGCATCGAGCAGCGGCAACTGCCCCCCTTGACGGTGGAGCCGGCTGTGCTAGACGGCGAGCCTGGCGTGCAGCGGCATGGCTTTGTTGCGGCACGGGACGTGGGGCAGGGCGAAGTGCTGCTTCAAGTCCCGGGCTCCTTGGCAATCACGGCCGTCGATGTTGGCAAGGACGCACAGCTGGAGGTTCTGGCGCGGGGGCGCAGCGAGCTGGTCGGGTTGGCGCTGTGGCTCATGCAGGAGCGGGCCAAGGTGATGGGGCTGGGCCGTGGCATCCTGCGCAACAGTCTGGCTTCCTTCCAGCAGGACCCATCAACTGGTTTCCTCGCCAAATTATGCAGGGACCATCCTCAGAATGGAGCACGTTCCTACGGACGCTGCCACAGGCCACGCTGACACCCATCCTCTGGCCCGATGAGGAGCGGCAGCAGCTGCTGCGCGGCTCGCCCGTGCTCGAGGTGTGCAGCCAGCGCCAAGCATGACAAAGTGGGGTGGGAAACCAGTTTATCCGTCATCCAGGGTGCCAGCTGTACCTGCAAAATGCCCATGCTTGCTGCTTCTTGCAGGAGGCCCGCACGCGCGAGCAGGCACTGCGGCAAGAGTGGCAGGACATTGCAGCCATTGCAGCACAGACAAGCGGCGGCCCTGAGGCGTACCCGGCAGTGGTGTATAATGAGCAGGCATTCCTAGAGGTGTGCTTCATTTGTGCAGCCATGATGTACTGCCACTGTTGTGGATCCACACTGAGTGCCTGCCCATTTGCCTGGACCCAATGCAGGCCATGTCGGTTGTGCTGGCCCACGCTGCCTACCTGCCAAAGGCACAGTGTTTTGCGCTGCTGCCGCTGGTGGGCGGCTTGTGCCGCACTGGCAGCAGCTCCGGCGCCCTGTTGGACTATGACCTGGAGCGTGAGGCGGTGACCGTGGTGGCGCAGCGGACGTACAGGCAAGTGCGGGGCAGACGGTGGCGCAGACGGTGACGGCTGCAACATGCCAGCGGCATTGCTCTCAATCCCCCTGCAGCCCGGGCCAGGAGGTGGCGCTGTGTGATGGCCGCCCAAATGGCGAGCTGCTGCTTGCGACGGGCACCATGGAGGCAGGCAACCCCACAGGCAAGCCGCTCTTGTGGTGCAGCGGGGTGCCTGTTTCTTTGCGCCTCTCAAGCCGGCGGCATTGTCGATCTGCAGACTGCCTGTTCATGGCGGCGAGCCTGGTGGCTGCCGACCGGCTGTACACCACCAAGCGGGAGATCCTGGAGGAGCTGGGCCTCGGTGCGTGGGTGAATGGCAGCTGGCGCTGCGTGCGTCTGCCGCCCTGGTTGTCCTGCGCGAGTGACTCGAGTGACTGTGCGGTGTTGCTCACTGACCGTGTGCCTCCCCTACGGCAGGCGTCAAGGCGGAGTTCCCCATCTTCGAGGACCGCCTTGCCACGCAGCAGCTGGTCTTCCTGCGGCTGGCTCGCCTGCAGGACCCTGCACAGCTCGCTCAGGCACGCCGTGCTGCAGCAGGGTTGGTTGTCAGGCTGTGAAGGGGTGCACCTGCCGGCTCAGCTGCGCTTGTGGTGTTGTGCAGCTGCGGCCGACCCTGGCCCTCCCCCTCCTGCTGCCCCGTGGGTACAGATCAACTTTGAGCAGGACACCATCATCAGCCCGGAGAACGAGTATGAGATCCTGCAGCTGCTGATGGGGGACCTGCGGGACAGGTGGGTCGGGCGGATGGTAGGTGGGTTGGCTGGGTTGGCTGGCTTGGAGTGGGTGGGTGGTGGGGTGCAGGGGCTGCGGTTGGCCAGCTGCTCCAATGGTCGGGTGCGGTAGTGGGCGGGTTGGGTAGGTGGGTTGCTTGCGATGGGTGGGGTGCGGTGGCTGTGGTTGGGGGCTAGGAGAATCTCCCGCCATTCGCCAGTCCCCCGCCCCTCACGCCCTGCCCGTGCTCGAAGGTGAACAGCTCCGCCACCTATTAGGGGGAGGATGTGGGT